CCAGCAACGAGCGACGAATCAGGGGGTAACACACCAAGTACGACGAGAGCCTTTTTTCTGTGTCGAAAGACTCCCGTCGTCATCGGCACACAAACACTCGCTCTCGACGTCGACATTGCTCGAAAGTCGAATCAACAAAGATTCGAAGCGAAGAAGTTTCTCGAGTGATCTCGACGACCGCACGAATTAACGCTCTAATTCCGAACAGAGGTGTTCCATGAAAGGGCCTAGATATTTACTAGATATAGATACAACAGAGAGGCCACCAGTGTGTGGCTCAGTGGCAACGTCAAAGTCTACCAACTCGGAGCAGAGACCAAGCCTGGGATCGAGACGTGGAGCGCCCTGATATTTTTCTCTGTTGTCAATTGTTGACACATACCAAAATAGGACGTAATTAAGCTTGCCAGGATAGGGCCTACTTTAGAGAATATAGGGCCTACTTTAGCCAATATAGGGCCTGTCCAGTTAAGCGTGTCCAGATAGTACCTACTTAGACGTATCCAGATAGGGCCTAGTTAAACGTGTCTAGACAGGGCCTAGTTAGGTGTGTCCAGACAGAGCCTAATTAGGCGTGCCCAGATAGGGCCTAGTTAGGCGTGTCCAGATAGGGCCTAGTTAGTCCTATCCAGATAGGGCCTAGTTAGGCATATCCAGATAGGGCCTAGTTAGGCATATCCAGATAGGGCCTAGTTAGGCATATCCAAATAGGGCCTAATCAAATTTATCGGGCCCTGATTTGCACGAGCGTTACATCTCTGTACAGGGCCTAATCGGACTTGCCTGAATGGGGCCTAGACAGAAATGGGGAAAAACTATCTAGGGCCTGTATGTGCCCCCTTTTAAAATTCTACCCGGGATGTATATGTTAAAAAAAACGGTTCGTAGATTTGTAGTGGAGGAATTTTTTGAACGGGCAAGGATAAAATTTCGGGATATTCCATTTTTAGATGTGGCAACACTGCTTCAAATCAAATAAATTGAAATTAATGCTAAAAAGGACATATAAGAGTCAAATAAATGTTTGAAGATATTCATGTCACATAAATATAATAAAATTTAATTTAAAGTTAAGAAAAAACATTACATGTTTCGGCTTTTTATTATGGTAAGCCATCTTCAGATGATCCATAGTAAGCTTCTTAAAATATTCATTTATATTCGGTAATTTACAATTGTTTATGATTAATCTTGAATGTTCGATGGATGTCAAGGAACAACCCAGACAACAAAATGCCCACACAGTGATTTCATGGTGCGTGCACATCGTGCAAATTATCCGCACGGCGTGCAGGCATATCACCACACAAATGCGTCCTCATATGAAACTCATATTGCTTGCACGCGTGAGGTTGCACGCGTGCGACCAATATGAGGATGTGTTTCTGTGATCCACATGTGAATCTCACATGACCCGCACGAGCGATGTCGCACAAATGAATCTCATATTGCTCGCATATCGCTCGCACGCGTGCTACTTGTTTAATATTTGGAAAAAGAAACATTACTCATATTTAAGGCTTATAAGTTTTATTCCTAAGACATTTATAGTAATTATACTTGAAACTATTTCAAATTGTTTAATAAAAAACGTACTTTTATTAATTAGTGGAATTTGGACCAGGGACCTCAGAATTATGAATCTTCTGCGTTACCAGCTACACCACTTCTTCAATTAATAAGGGTGTTATTTATTGTTACAACACTTTACGTTAATTTTTGTAAGAATAACGAGATAGGGATATATCTTCCATGACCGAATGACTTTACGGATTTTTCAAGATATAGTTTGGCAATTATATCTTGACGTTACTATCCTTCCAAATAAAATTGTACATTGGAGGAATTTTCTTATAAATCGATAATTTCATCTCACGACTGAATACTCAATAACATTAAATTGAGTTATTTTATACTTTGACAACTAAAAAACTTTATTATATATTCTAATTGTAACCGTTATTCTGTAATTCTTATATCTTTATAATTTTATATATTATTTTTATTTATACTGAAGATGGCCACATTCAGGGCCGAAACGTTTATACTTTGATTTATTATATCTGACATAATTATTGTAATTCTTTTAATTTTATATACGAAATATTAATGTTATTTCACTAACAAGATCTAGTATGTGGCATATGCTCAACCGTTTTTATTGTTATTTATTGTCTACTTCAATTATAACCAGCGTAAGAAATTACATAGATATATAAAAATATTATTATTTAACAGATATAATAAAATATAAACAATTTAAGTAAAAAGAAAATCAACTCTCGAAATTGTCAATATTGAACTCATGTTCGATAGCTAATTAATATATTTTAATTCTTCGACAGAGTAAACCACGGATTGCACTGAAATGAAAATATTAAAAAGAATAATAAGTTAATTTTTAGACTGTGCAACATTAATAGCGATAAAAAGAAAGATTAGAAATTCACAAGTAACGAATTATTTGAACCTTATGGCATAGAAAACGTCACTTCTCAGAGAATTAATTTACATCTCAGTAATCTTAAAGAAAATTGGGACAAATTTCTTGTTGTTCATGATGCCATTACTTTAGCTATTCGTGAATTAGATGAAAATGACAAAATTGTTATTCGCAGTAATTCATATTTCTCTGAAAATTATTTTTCGATAACGAACGAATTTTATTTAGAATCCACCGAGCGAATAAATGCACTTCTAGAATCACATTCAGATCGGGGTAGCGTCCCGGGCATGTCAACAGGAATATCTTCCTCTCCAGCGGTAACCACTTCCCTTTCGTCATCGAGTCTTCCTACGTTTTTCCAGCATGCGAGACTTCCTAGATTAGATCTTCCAAAGTTTAATGGATCACCGTCTGATTGGTTACCGTTTAAAGATCTTTTCCGCTCGTTGGTTATAGATAATCCGACGCTTTCTCCAGTAGAGAAATTACAATATTTGAAAACGAGTCTGACCGGCACCGCGGGTCATATGTTAAGTAATACTGCATTAACTGCAGATAATTTTTCTAAAGCTTGGGAATCTTTAATATCATTTTATGAAAATAAGAGACTCTTAGTCAATGCAGCATTGAATTCTTTATTCAACTTAAAACGCATGACCAGAGAATCATCAGCGGATTTGGAAAAATTGTATACTACTGTCACCCAAATTTATAGAACTCTGGAGACTTTGGGGAGACCAGTGAATTCCTGGGATGACTTTCTGATTTTTATAATGATTCAACGAATGGACTCTGAATCGGTTAAAGCATGGGAACAACATATTGGTTCATCGAGAGAGCTTCCCACTTGGAAGCAATTTATGGAGTTTCTCATCACTCGAGTAGTGACCCTACAAAATTATGAAAAGGCTCGTGCAGGTAAGCCTCTACAACCAAAGTACTATAAAAACTCATTTTCAGGGCAAATTTAAGGATGAGAGCTCATCGTCATGCCCTTTTTGTTCTGAATCACATTGGCCGTACCATTGCCCTCAGTATAAATCAAAGACGCTACCACAACGCGTCGCTCTTGTAAAAAGACATAGGTTATGCTATAACTGTTTTGGACCACATCGAGCAGCTAATTGTCGAATGACAGTTCATTGTAAGAAATGTGCTGGTAAACATCACGTGTCGCTTCATCGTGGAAACTTTGATACTTCCAATTTTAAAGTGAGTCTGTCGAAATCTCAAAAAACAGAAAAGGTGGATGAATCGTCTGAAGTAGGATCAGACGTAAACTCGAAAATAAAAGGATCTCAAGTTCTTCATGCCACTAGCCGAGAAATAATTAGTAGTCCAGGCGTGCTTTTGGCAACCGCTCTTGTTCTGGTTGAGTCTAGAAGTGGACAATCGTCCAAAGCTAAGGTTTTAATAGATCAAGGATCGGAAGTGTCTTTAATTACTGAACGGTTAGCCCAACGTTTACAGTTGTCTCGGACAAAGTCTCAAATTCCCCTGA